GGATGACTTTTTAAAAATCGAAATTCTTAAGAAATCAGAAAACACCCTCAAAAGATAATTTTTCTTTTCGTTTTTATTTTTGTATTGCAATTTTGTACGAATTTCTTTTTTTTTTTCCGGAATTTTCTGAATTTTTTGAAAATTTTGAAAAAAAAAAATCCGATTACAACTTGTGTATGCTGTATTCGAATACAACGTACATGCGTTATATTCGACCGTACGTTCTATTTGGGAAAAAATCAGCGATTTCAGGAAAAAAACGTTTTTTTTAAGGTAAGTTGAATAGAACGTACATACGACAGTAGTCATGCCACTCAGGGCCTGATTAGTTATAGCCACTCGCTTCTCTTTTTTTTTAAATGATCGTGTCCCCAGAAAATATCTGATCAGTCTCATAGATCATCGGCTGTTGGGTCGTCTTCCAGATTCAGAAGCTGGGGGCACAGGAGGTCACTCCTCACCCTTTTCGGGCTGGTCTTGCCTATAGCCTCATTTACGTAAATACATATTATATAATTTATATTAAAATAGTAAAAAAATAAGCTTGTAATACAGCAACACCTAACTCTAGCCGTCCGAGTCCGAGTCTTTTCTTTTTGCCGAGGGCGCATTCCCCTGTGCACCAAACTCTGTGCCAAAGTGCCAGCGGTCCCTTTTTTTTTTTTTTTTTTTTTTTTTTTTTTTTTTTTTTTTTGGGTGTTGTCATCATTGTCGATGGCGGCCTGGCGCCACCAGCCATTTTGGTCCAGTGGCACTGTTAAACCACCAGTACTTGGGCACTGCGCTCCGCGCCGGCCGCACCTTTGTTGAAGCGGCGCGGGCTGTCGATACGATTTATCGACGGCCCGCCGGTAGCGAAATTCCCGTAGCGTTAACGCTAAGGCGTCGCCCAAGTACTGGTGGTTTAATCCAAGCTTTCCGGAATGACTCCTTTTTCGACCCTGAATGAGTCTGAAGTTTTCCTGGCCGGTGTACTCGTGGTTTAATCGTGCCACAGCAGCTGGCTCGGTAGGAGTTTGATTGATTCTTCTTCCCTGCCCTGTCGATTTCAAGTTCGATGATCTTGAGCCATGGTCTCGGTGAATCAGGGGAGTGATGGTAGGGGGTTGAAACTACCGTCTTCACCCGAATAGAACGCCCGGTCATTATCGCTGCATCTGGACCGAAAGTTGTGCCAAATACATCTATAATGACCGGGCGTTCTATTCGGGTGAAGACGGTAGCCCATATAGTTGCAGCAGATCCTTGCTGCACTAGTGCATGGCACTGCATGCACTTTGCTGATGGCCACTATGCTGCTGCTGTTGCTGCGATTGATATTTGCTTCTGCATACTGCTCCAGCTAGTGCAGCAAGGATCTGCTGCGACTGATGGCCACTATGCTGCTGCTGTTCTTCTCTCTCTCTTCTCTCTCTCTCTCTCTCTCTCTCTCTCTCTCTCTCTCTCTCTCTCTCTCTCTCTCTCTCTCAGGTATGCGGGCGCACCATGTTTAGTAAGTGAAAAACAGGAATGGATCTTCCCGCTGTGGCGGGTAGATTCATTCCCGTTTCTCTCTCTCTCTCTCTCTCTCTCTCTCTCTCTCTCTCTCTCTCTCTCTCTCTCTGTGGAACAGAAAGGGATGGCTTCTGTGTTTTTGTTTTTGCATAAAGTCGAAATTGGTTTTCTTTTTTTATCTTTGTTTCGGCCGCAGAAGAAAAAAGAGTAGAAAAATTTGTTGTAGTCGGATGAATTTGGGCGCTCCTGTAACGGCCTGTACGTTTCCTATAATCGTGGCGCGTTAACGGGCACGACTCTAGAAAGTACTGGTGGTTTAACGATACAGCCTCACACTCAAGCACACTATCTCCTCCTCTCACTTGTGACGACCTTCTGCGCACAGGTCAGCACCTATTCCCCACCTATACCCCCCCTCCCTTCCTCCACTTCCACAGGTCCAGCGCCGCAAACCTGGGGGCAGCAAGGGCACTCCAGAGGCTACTCCAGCCCCTGACCAAGAAGCATCACTCGAGTACTGCTGCTGGAAGTATACACGAGCGAGTACCTCCTCCAAGGTAAACTTTGATGATGTATGTCGACCATCCTTGTGTGGGTGGGTCTCACAAGTGCCCTTTTTTCTCGACCGTCCTCCTGTGGATGGGTCTCACAGGTGCCCTACCACAGGCATAACTGAATATATCGAAGTGCGCAGAAGCGCAACGACATTGCTACCATCATATACAGGACTGCCCCGGGCTCATCCACCAGCCTCTTTCCTTCCCCCGGATCGGGCGGTATAAACTTGACCTCACGAGGGCAATAACTGACCCCCACTCAGATCGGGCGGTATAATCTTGACATCACCAGCCTCTTTCACCAGCAGCCACCACTCAGATCGGGTGGTATATAATCCACCTCTCTGTCATATAGCAGGCCCCAGCCCCCAGTCTAGGCCTACTTACGCAACGTAGAGCACCTGAGCAGCAGTCGATGATTTTGGTAGGACCATCATGGCTCTTGAGCTCTTCGGCTCAGTCTGGTATCCTTCATCCCTCGGCATCGTGCATAACCCACCCCCTTGGTTGGTGGTGATTTCTATACGTACATTCTGAAACGGTTTTCACCTTTGCAGTAGCGGATGCATATCCCAGGGCTCGATCCCTAGACCCCGCTCATCTGTGTACAACACCCCCTGTGTGTTTGAACCCGTAATCTGTGTCTTAGGGGTCAATTGTTGTCTGTCGTAGGCCAGTGTAGCCGTCGGGTCTTGAACCGTAGGTCTGTCGCGTAGGGGTCAAGTCTGTAGTAGAGGTCGTAGCTGTAGTAGTTCTGAAAGGTCAAGGTCGTAGCTGCTACAGTTCTGAAAGGTCAAGGTCGTAGCTGCTACAGTTCTGAACGGCCAAGCATACGGACTTCCGGAAGGTGAAAAGGTCGGGAAGTGGCCTTTCGAGAATTCTTACGTTTGGCCAGAGGCAAGTGGGCAAGTGGTGAGTCCACCCATGTTGAGTCAGCGGTACCCAGTCCCAGTCTCACTTAGTCCAGTCAGCAAGTACCATGTGGGACTGTGTGCACCATGGGCCCGGTGGAAAGAGGCAAGCCAGCGACTTCCAGAAGTACAGCGTCCAGTCATTCATTCATTCCTGCGTAAGCCATGCGGAAGCGCTGCCTGAGCGACTTGTGCGAGGTGGTCTGTAGAGTGCCCGAAGACGACGTAGGATGAAGGAGATAGTAGCCATAGCCAGAGGGATAGCGGCCATAGCCGCCATAGCTGATAGGCGAGTGTGTTAGTAGTAGTGTGTGTGTGAGTGTGTATGCGTGTGGGATATCTAGGGTGATTCGGAGTTGAGTGAGTGCGAATAGTGGTGTTGGACATAGAGACGAGAGTTGGGGTGTACAGGCGCAGATGCACCATAGACTGTTGAAGCGAGTTTGTATCTGAACTGTGTTTTCGACTTCCATCTCTTTGAGCCTTGAGTGGGCACTGTGCCCCAGTGTGATTCACCATCTGTTTGCATGAGTGTGAAGTGGAAAAGAAAGCGAGTCTGATTGCATTGGTATCGGAGCTGGTACCCGCTATCTCACACGCCGTCGTCGTCCGCGGTATGTTGAAGTTGGCGGCCATAGCCGAAGTGCGCCATAGCTGAAGTTGCCATCACTGAAGAAGAGTCCGCCATAGCTGCGCTGGTGGAGGAAGGTGTCACGTACCTGCAAAGAAGACAACGACGAAGAGAGAGAGAGAGAGAGAGAGAGAG